ATATATGTATGTATATATATATACATAAATATATATACATATATATTTATATACTATATATACATACATATATATATATATATATACTTTTTATAAATATATATATATATATATATATATATATATATATATATATATATATATATATGTATATATACATATATATATATATATATATATATATATATATATATATATATATATATATGTATATATATATATATATATATATATATATATACATATATATATATATATATACATATATACTTTATATATATATATATATATATATATATATATATATATATATATATGTATGTATATATATATACATAAATATATATACATATATATTTATATACATACATATATATATATATATATATATATATATATATATATATATATATATATATATATATATATATATATATATATATATATATATATATATATATATATATATATATATATATATATATATATATATATATATATATATATATATATATATATATATATATATATATATATATATATATATATATATATATGTATGTATGTATAAAGAGAAAAGATTACTACATCTCTCCCACAACATCCGAAGTTTCATTGATGTCTAATAACATCATTTTTATATTTGATTGCATTAGAAGATTTTAAATTGTATATATATATATATATATATATATATATATATATATACATATTATTCTAGGAAAAAATTTGGGCAATAGTAAATTCCCTGCAAAATTTAGCGGTAATATTGCCAATAATTGGAGTTTTTCGCAAAAAAAAACAAAACAATATTTGTCATAAAAAACGTAAAAAATAAAATAAAAAGGTCCTCAGTTTTTAATTTGGGTGGTGCTTAAATCACCAAATTGAATTCAGCGCCCCAAAAACGGTCTAGAATAGCCCCTGATATACATGCATATATATATATATATATATATATATATATATATATATATATATATATATATATATATATATATATATATATATATATGTATATATATAATATATATATATATATATATATATATATATATATATATATATATATATATTATATATATATATATACATATACAGACATAATTTTTCTTTAAAATTTCATATAGGTTATTTGGTTTTAATTTTGGTTATTTAAGCTAATTTTTTGAATGATAACATAACATATTTAGCACGATTAGATGAGAAATAGAGTTGGTATTCTGTAGAGAAGAGATTCAAATCGATCATTGTGACATTTTTACAATATATTTTTTCAACCTCAGTTATAGCCCTAATAACTTGCAATTATGACCACTTTTTCCCACTTGATTTTATATCTGATTTTTTACATTTAGAGTACATTCTTGAGTGCAATCTAGATCTTTAAATTTTCTCTGCATCTATAAATATACACAACCAATTATGATCCACCATTCACAAAAAATTATATGCATACAAATTTTATTGAAGTTTCTGCTAAAAATATCTTAGCAGACAGTTTTTCTTTTAAATATCAATTTTGTTTAGTGTCAAATCTTTTAAAATTTAGCATAGTTTATACAGTCTTACAGCAGACTACCTAGATTCATGTACAATTAAACATTTAAGAAAAACTATTTCTCATAAAACTAAATTTTGAATAAAAACAGAGCTTGGATGACTATTTTTCTGTTGTTTCAATATAAACACTCTGAACTTCTATTTTTGCAGTTTATCTTGAATGTTATCCTATTTTGAGTCAATCTCATAAATAAAAATGCTTTTGCTAATTTGTTGTTTGTTTTGGCAAAAACAAACAACAAATCTGATTCTTCCTAAAAATCCATAAGTTAGGGTTTATTTCAGCCTAAGAACGTTAAGGATCTCCATACTTATATTATTATATCTCCATACTTGTTTTTAGAGAGATAAACTAGTGTGTTGTAATTTGTTTATTGCAATATTTTCAAAAAAAATTTTCTTGCTGAACCTTTCCAAAAAAAGAGATGCTTATGAATTTGATCAGTCATATATTCTTCTTATACTATCAGTATAAGTAGAATATTTAATATGACTGTTCAAATTAACTAATCACAATTAACTAATGAAGTCAATTTTCACTTAACCAAGATTCAACAGTAAAATATTTCTGCAGATTTTGAGATTTAACCCAAAGAGTGAAACTTAACTGAAAGCAACTTTAGTTAATTTAGATTGTCTAATAATTATTCAAAACCTAAAAAATTGAAAATCAAAACAATACCAAACGTGTTGTTGTCAAATACCAATATATGACCAAGAATCACCCACATGATAGATAATACACGAATTCCATTTATTGAACCTATAGCACCATCAGGAGAATTTGTATTAAATACAGCTTTAGTGTTTTTTATAAGAGAGAAGCAGATCAATATTTTAAAAATTTTTCCATCTAAAAAAACAAAAACAATTTTAATTATTACTTTCAAAACAATTTTTTTACTTCAAAAAGTTAAAAAAAAAAAGTCAAAAAACCTCTTTTGCTAGCTTTTAACTCTATATAATTTTTTTCATTGCCATCTTGGAGATCATTTTCATTAACATGCAATATATATTTTGGGCCAGTGTGTTTTTTTTGAAAATCAGAAATAACTTCTATCAGTGTACCAAGCATGCATAATAATAACAGAAGAGTACTAATGAAGCTAAATTCATTAAAAAAAAAAGAAATTTTATAATGAAATAAAAATTAAAAATATGTAAACTGTAAAAATATGTAAACAATTCACTTAAAAAATATGTAAACAATTCACATAAAAAAAAATCAATATAAGTCAATATACTCAAGACAGATGGTTCATTGAATAAGTTAAAATTTTGAACCTTTTTCCCATATAAAATTGTTAATTTTTATTCACACCCAAGTGGAAGTAGGTTTAAACTAAAAAAAAAAAACCTAAGGTCATGTCATACTTTTTTGGATCCGTACTAACCTCTACTTTCAGAAAATAACACTAATAAAAAATAATTTTGGGAATCCAAAAAAAAAAAAAATGCATTTTTGTAAACCAAAAAGGCCAGTATTTTAGCTTGCATGTTCAATAAATTTTTATTTGATTATGAATTTTTTGCAGACTATTACATACTTTAAAAGCTTTAAAATATTCACAATAGACAGGCAAACATTTTAATATGTTTAATGTGTAATGTTTTGTATTCTTGTTTATAGTAAAGAGAATTAGTGGTTTTCCTTTAACATTATATATATATATATATATATATATATATATATATATATATATATATATATATATATATATATATATATATATATATATATATATATATATATATATATATATATATATATATGTATATATATATATATATATATATATATATTGAATTCAATACATATTCAATAAATAATTACTACAATATAGTTTTCTCATATCGTTATTTCAACTCTAACAGCTTTTATTCCATTCAAGCAAGAATTCCTTGTGCGTAATTGATCTCGGAATGAATAGTTTAGCAATTACTATAGATCATTTATATAAATCAATCATTAAAGAGAGTTTGCTTGTGTTGCAATCATTAATTTCTTTTAATCATAATCCAATATTTCTTTTAATATATTCGTAAAACTCTACATTTTGTGCCACCAGTACTTCAATGATGCCTCATCAGACATTAAACCACAAAGATAACCGAAAAAAAGTTTGTATTGTGTGCTTTGAGAAAGACAATGCGATTAGAGAAATAACTGGCCCAACCTATAGAAGACTTCAAAATTATTTATACCAAATTTAGGATTGGCTAAGGAACATTATCTATCTGGAATGAAAAAAATTGAAAAAAAGGAGGATGAGAATCCACTGCATCAATTCTGCCACCTCCCTACCCAAATCTTTATAATCTAATCCATTCAATAATCCATCAAAAGATATCTATGTACAATGGGATGCAGTTTACCTCACCCCTACAATATTTCAATTTGCAGGGATAATATTGAGATAGCACTGCCTAGAGGTTAGTATGTATGTATATATAATAATTATTTAGCCTAAAACCATTTGTGCAATAATAATTTACATTAAAACCAAAAAAATATAGTATTATGTAGGTACATACAATTTTTGATGTTAAAAATATGATATATTTGAGATGAGAGAGGTACAGAAGTGGATGAAGGTGATTCAATAAAGCTTGCTAACAAAGGACCTAAACTTTTAATATTAAAATTCTAAAGAAAACAGAGTTGAAAGCCTTTTTTCCTGAAAACATGGTGCCAGCTAGTGAAGTCACAAGATTAAAAAATATACTGGGGTTAAGTGACTCTCAAACAGAAACTGCTTGTAGTGTTCTTAGGAGCTGGAAAATAAGAGAATTTTTTGAACCCAATCTAAAAGAAAAAGTCTGTGTTCTAGATTATTTCTTTGATGTTGCAGAACTTCAAATCAATAAGCAAACAAAATATTTAGTTTACTGTACAAATGTGTCTAATAAATCTGAGCTAATAAAAAGGATTTTGACAGTTGTCAAGACAAAAATAAAGATTAATAGAGGAATATTTAAAAATAAATAAGACTATACAATTAAAACAGTACTCAACAATAATAACAATAAAAAAAAAAAATAAAAAAAAATTAAAAATAAATAATAAAATAAAAAGTGAAAGGAAAAAAGAAATTAGATTGTAAAGATTGAAATAGATGGGGGAGGATTTGATATCAATGAATAGATGGGGGTTTAAGAAGGTTTTGTCTAAGAAGGTTTGTTTAAGTATTCTTGATTGTGAAGTGAATCAAGTTAAAACCAAGTTCTCGTACAGACATGAAATAAAGCAAGGCAAATTTAAGGACGGAGAAGTTAAGAAACTTGTCATTCTGGTCGTTATTGGAGATGTAAAAGAGAATCATTAACCAATTTCAAAAAGTTCAACATAATTTCAAACTGCAAATTTTAATTTCAGCACTCTTGAGTTTCCTCACTATAATAATACACAAACTGAATAAGTATTATGGTATTTGATGTATAATGGTATTTCAGCACATGGGTTATTCCATATCAAATCACCTAGTTTTTTGAAAGTTCCTTAGGGTACCACCTCAGATTTGCTTTAAATTTTGACCACACACAGATCTTATGAAAAAAATACAATTCAGAAAATTTCAGCCTGATTGACCAATTTGTTCAAAGTTATGATTGGATTAAAAATGACCAAAATACGAAAAAATTTGTGTATCAGGAACTTACAGCAGTTTTTTTTTGATTTTTGACCATAACTTTTTAAATGAAAATGATTACCTAAAATTTTGTATTTTGTAACCAAAACATTTACTATTGGGGATTTTAACTAAGAAGTATTTTTTAATATTTGACTTAAAGCTTGCAAATATTTATTTTGGCATTGAAGCCGCTTCTTCTACTCACCCCTGCAGTTGGTTTGAACTATCAAAGCAAGACATGCAGGATTTCACAATCTGTGGCATCATAAGGTATTTAGAAATTAGTTTAGCATTATAAAATATTTTTTTGTACAGTCAAAACATCACTCTGGATATTTTTTTAAGTCAGGATTTTAATCTATTGATTAGAGACAATGCAAAACAGAACAGAAAAGGCTTGTGAGAATCATATGAAAAAAAGTAAACTCTTGGCTGCACCATTCCAGAATTGTGCCTAAACTCCTTTGTTAAACTTACCAGATGGTACATCTGTTACACAAATTCTTCCTCCAATGGAGCTTCATTTATTTCCTGGAAACACAAACCTTTTGTATAACATAGGTGATAAAATACTGTCAAAAAATTGAAATATTAATTTCAATGGATATGTGGAATAAAGCAATTAAACTAATTTATTATAAGCCGAGATGGCACAGAGGCCAGTTCAAGGCAAGACAGTGTTCAAAGCTATTAGATAACATAGAAATATTAGAAAAATTCTAAAATCCAAGTTTGATGTTGTACCTGATAATTTGAAAATGCGTATGCATGCTTACCTATAAAATTATAATACTGTCATTATTATTGTTATTATTATTATTATAAATATTATATAACAGTTATTGTATTCAACACCAAAAGATTTTTAGCTCAACATTCCTTAAACCAACTCTCAAAAAAAATCAATCTTCAATGAGCAATATTATCATAATAGCTTTTTTAAGAGCAAGTAAAATGTAATGGAATGAGCAGTTCTAAATTAATAGCCATAATTGCTAATGGATGCAATCCCATTGGGTGGGCTGCTTAAACAGTTTTTAAATTTTTAAGCAAATAGAAAGATAGCAGTATTGCATTCTAAAGATAGCAGTATTGCATTCTAACATAAAACTTTTTAATTTAATACAGCAAAAAAGTTACAATAAATTTTCAACTTCAATGAACAAGCTTCAACTGTTGGTTGCCTACAATCATGGTTGCAGACACATTTAACATTATAAATATACTAAACATTAGCATGGATACCAAATTACTAATTGATTATTCTTTGATTGATAATTAGTAAGTAAAAAAGATATAAATTTTTTTTTTTCATTATAAAAATAGAGATAACAAAATTGTTTACATCATAACAATTGTTCCATTTGAATAATTTGTTCCAGGTTTAGAACAAAACGCATCACCGCCAAAAGTTGTTATAGACTGAGTATTTTCATGAATTGTAAACAAAGATGGTGTAACTAAATAACAATAATTTATAATAAATAGAATTAAAACATTTAAAATTGAGAAAAAATTAATGCTACCAAAGCAATACCAATTTTTTTATTTATGAAATTTACCTTTAACTTACCAAATTACCAAAATGATGTTTACTTAATTAAAATATTTTTTTTCAATATGTTTTTTTTTTCAAATTTAGTGATTGTTGTGAACAGTTGATTATTGACATGGTGATATAACAGTTGAGTATTGGCATGGTAATATAACAGTTGATTGTTGACATAACAGTTAACTGCTAAATCACCAAAAAAAACCAAAGAAAAAAAAGATAATGCTGATAAACTAAAGTCTTGTTCATTTATTTTTGTAAATATTACCAATTAAAAGTTTACATATGCAAGTATGCAATTTGATTTACAGTTTTTTATTTTCAAAAATTTTAATCAAAAAGTTATTTCTTATTTATAATTAACATAAAAAGTTATAAAGATAACTGAAAATCTTTAAAGATTCAAAAGATTAAAAAAAAAGCTTTTTAGTTACCTGCAAAGGTAACTTTTTTTTTTTTTAAACATCTTCGCTTCCAACAAGGCTGCAAGCAACCACTAATTAGTGTTGGAAGTTACTGAAAGAGAAAAGATGAAGATTGTAGAGCAAGATAACAATTGACAGACAACTTAAAAGATTGCAAATTATATGAATCAGGAAAGCAAGATAAAGGAAGCGAATTCCAAAGAACTGATGTTCGAGGGAAAAAACTAGACGAATAAGAGTTTTTGCAGCACATAGGAACAGTAACAGTAAAAGGATGACACTTAATTGAATGACGAATAACACGAGAATGAATTAAATTAGATGGCATAAGAGACGCTAGCTCTTTAGAGCAGTGCCCATTTTAGTATTTGTAGAAAAGAGAAAGAGAAGCAACATAACGACGATGTGACAAAGGTTGTAGATTGGCTGCATGAGCAGGTCCAACTACGTTTACAATGCGTTTTTGCACCTTGTCTAAAAGAGAAAGAGCATCATTAGAAGATCTGCCCCATATCTGGGGCGGATCTTCTAATGATGATATAATGACTCATATAATTTGCAATCTTCTAATGGATAATCCGTTCTTGTATTCCATACAAGAACGGATTCGAAAATTACAAAGATAAAGAATAGAATCCAGAGTAAGTGAGCACAATAAAGAGATCACCTTAGCAGATGCTAATTTTGCAATGAATTTGATATAAGGTTTCCAAGAAAGATCAGAAGTAAGAGTTAACCCTAGAAGATGAAGGGTAGGAGACTCATCAAGTACATTACCGTTCATAAATATAGGAAGGTCTAAATTATTGCGATAACGATTGGCCAAAAAAATTGAGTTTTATCTGAATTAAAGTTCACTAGCCACTGTGAGCCCCATGCTGTAGCAGAAGTGAGATCCTTTTCAAGTTCAAATGCCCCCTGCAAGCAATCAGAGGGAGTTGGCTTCTTATCGTGACAAGAATAAATGGTAGTGTTTGTTAATTAAAGATTCAAAAACCTTGCTTATGATAGGAAGAAGACTAATAGAACGGTAGTTAGACGAATCAGATCGCTTTCACATTTGTCAACAGGAAGACAAAAGATTTTTACCCAAGGGCCATCACGAAGAAAATCACGGAAAGAGTACCAGTCAGCTTTAAGGTAGTTGTAAGATGTACAATCATAAGGGGATTCTGATGATAAAGAAGAATGAGGTAATAGTTTTAGAGAGATCGAACTGTGATCAGAGGCACCAAAGGGTAAATGTGGAGAAACTGAGCACTGACTAGGATCAGAAACAATACACAAGTCGAGTAGAGAAGGTAAATGATTCCAGTTGTCTGGAAAGCGAGTTGGAAAGTTGACTATTTGAGTTAGAGATTGAGAAAGACAAAAGTTGTGGGCCTTAATGCCTGCACAATCACTGACACTAGAGCCATGTCTTTCAGTGTGATGAACATTAAAGTCACCGACAACAACAATATTGGCTGATGGATAAAGAGAGAAGGGTTGGTTATTATGATCAGAAATAACATCAAAAAGAGTGCAGTCTTGAGATGAAGGAGAGCGATATAGAACAAAGAGAAAGGTGATAGAGTGAAGTGGTGCTAAACGAAAGCACATAAAAGAGCAGTCTGTGGATTCAAACCTAGTTTCCTGAAATGGGTGAATTCTTACAAATGTAAATGTCCAGGCCAAGCATGTGACTATTGTCACATGCTTGGCCTGGACATTTACATTTGTAAGAATCTTTACGAATTAAAGGAAGATAACCATCAACACTAAGATCACAAGATAAGACAGCTGAACTCAAATTAGTCTCACAAAGAGCAAGTAGGTCTGATGAACTTTGTAAGAGATAAGACTCAACAGAAGAAAAGTTACTTCAAAGACCACGAATATTAGTTAATGATAGGTTTAGCGAACTTGGTGATGACTGTATTTTTTGTGTTTTATAGTTTTTGTTATTTTATTCAT